ATATCTCTATATATATATATCTCTATCTATCAGAATAATTTTTTTCCCCTGAAAAAATGTAATCCCAAAATATTTCAATAAATCAGTCCCATTATAATCGGAAAAAGTTTTCTTCATCGTACATGCTTTTCAACAGAACCTCTAAGGGTTGGCACATTTTAAACTGTCACTGGTTATACACCGTCATACTGCCCTGCCTTTTTTTTGATTTACAAAAGAGCAGTACAAAACTCACCATCTGTACACTGTCATTGTATTCCACTGATAATGGTCCCCCTCTGTGTCTTCAGAGCTGTTGAGAAGTTAACAGGACAGACCTTTGAGGATTACTCCTTTAAAGTGTCTTATATTTTGGATATGGATGCTGCTCCGCCTCTGCCTGCGACCCGGAATCGTCGGGGTGGAAGGACATCACGGGAACAGGACTCCCAGCCTGGGACCTCTGCAGGCTCCCTGGGTCCCCGACAGAAACAGCCAGACTTCCCCTTGCGCATGCTGGTGCCCACGCAGTTTGTGGGAGCCATCATTGGCAAGGAGGGGCTCACAATCAAAAACATCACCAAACAGACACAGTCTAAGTGAGTGAGAGAGTGAGATACAGGTTAATAAGATTCAGAAGAATTCTTCCAGTGCAGTGGAATTAATATAATACAACTACTATTTATATAATGGTCACAATTTATTTTAAGGTCTAAATCTCGCTATTAACAAACCATTAACTATGACTTTCACCTCAATACATTACTAAACTAATTTTTATAAGTACTAACAAATAGCCAATTTGTTAATAATAGGCATGCTAATAAGCAACTAGTTAATAGTGAGAATTGGTCCCTATACTAAAATGTTACCTATATAATTAATTGCATAATAAATGTATTTCAAATGTGATATACACTACCATTCAAAACTTGGAGCTTGGTAAGATTTTTTTTTGGAAACATTTACAATGTTTCATTTGTTAACTACATTATTTAAGATGAACTAACAATAAACATTACTTCTGTCAGGACCACTATCGTCAAAGATGACAGGCAATTAGCATACAGCTTGGATTGGCGGTATGGTTCTGTTCTGGGTAAGAACTCCCTGCGCATCCATGCAGCCTAGCATGCATAAGAGCAGGGAGAGCAGCAATAACCCCCCAGGGTAAACAGAACAGTGTGTATGAATGAAACATGAATGTATTGCAGATATCATTAAAGTTCAATAATTTAATGTACACATTTAGAATTAGTCTGATTCAAAGGAGAATCAGAAGGCCTAATCTTGGGATGTCGCGATAACCGCAATATCGCAATACCGCGCTATTGACGAGCAAACTGCAGAGGAATGCAAGAACTGCAGCAACCGCGATTTTTCCGTGTTTTATTTTTTCGTAAGGTTATGCCCTTCTCGTTTTACACTTCATGCATGTGGACTGAATATTAAACAAGTTAGTAATGAGAACATAATGTGTACCATGCTGATTTGTACAGAGGCTCTGTAGATTTGCACTTAACAAGCCTAAACAGACAGTGAATGAGAGCGAGATCGACTGAGCGCGTACGATTACTTGCGTCTGTCCTCCAGGCCGAGTCATATATATTTGTGAAAATAGGTTGTCATGTTCTTAGCATCGACGCATAGCTGGTCAGCTGAGCCTTCTAAAGTGGCGCTCAAAGTTAAAATGATTTCAACAGCATGTTTCATTACTTCTCTTTGAATGAATGAATCAGCGTTTTTGAACGTGTAGTTGAATGACAGTCCCTTTCCACCACCTTGTGGCGCAACACTGTAACTGCACTGACTGACAGCCCGTCTAGAACGCGCACAGGTGGAAATATCAATAGAAAGTCTCTTGTCCAGTCAGATTAGAAAATCAGATTACAAATAGGCTAACAGTATACATATAGGCTAACGATAGCCTAACAATCTTATTGTCAGGTCTATGTTCTGTTATGTGGACCGTTATTTTGTCATTCTCTTCTGTTTACTTCACTTCCTGTTTCAACGCTATTTGGTTTCGGTTTCATTGTCTTCTGAATATGACCTTGTTAGTTATATCGTAACACATACACGCACAAATTATATATATATATATGGCGGTAAAACCGCATACCGCGCTATTGAGCCACTCAAAATTACCACAAGGGAAATTCCCTCACCGCGACAGCCCTAGCGGAATCCTGACTGACGGAGGAGGAGCTGGGGATGGAGGAGGGTAATTAGCTATTGAGCAATGCGAAAACTGCTGATAATACTGAGGGACCTTATATGTGAATGCTTAGATAGGTGTTGTATTCCTATAGGTAGATGGGGATCAGCTGAGAGTCAGCTGATGCGAGCTTGACTAATGTGACCTGCCAGAACTAACGCTTACGCTTGATTTCTGCAGCATTTATCTTAGTTTTAAAGCTGAACTTTTGCTAGTAAAGTTTTGAAGATCAAAAGTTGTATCTGGTAATAGTAAAGTTAATACAGTGTGAACTAACATTAACAAAGGTTAATAAATTCTGTAAAAAATATATTGTTCACTGCTGGTTCATTAGTTTGTTTATTAACTAATGTTAACAAATTTGATCTTATGTTTTACAGATTTTTTTTTGTCTTTGAAAGAAGTCTTATGCTCATCAAGGCTGCAATTATTTAATAAAAATACAATAACAACAATAATATTGCCAAATATAACTTTTTTCTATTTTAATATATTTTAAAATGTAAAAATGAAATTTATTCCTGTGATGGCAAAGCTGAATTTGATCATTATATCAGTCTTCAGTGTCACATGATTAGACACAAGAAGCATTACTTATTATTATCAATATTGAAATTAGTTTGGCTGCTGCTTAATATTTTTGTGGAAACAGTGATTCATTTTATTTCCAGGATTCTTTGAATTTAAAAAAGCATTTATTTTGTAACATAATAAATGTCTTTACTGTCACTTTTGATCATTTTAATGCAGTGATGGGCAAACTTGGCCCTTCCAGGCCACTTTCCTGCAGAGATTTGATCCAACCCTGATAAAACTCACCTGCCTGTAGCTTTCTAGTAGTCTTGAAGACAATGATTAGCTGGTTTAGGTGTGTTTGATTAGGGTTGGAGCTAAACTCTGAAGGAAAGTGGCCTGGAAGGGCCAAGTTTGCCCACTCCTGTTTTAATGCATCCTTGCTGAATTAAAATGCTAATTAAAAATGATTGGCTTAACTATTTTAAATGGTAATGTACATAGAATTGCTTAAATTAAATACTTATTTTATATAATATATAATATTCATTGCTAAGATCATCTGTTGCTAAGATCATATATTTTGCACACTAAATATCCTGGAAACATGTCACATTTATTCATCAAATTTGGCTGTAAGCATAAACTCACAATGACTTTAAACACATGCTTGATGACATTGACAGCTCTTCCTGAAGCTTTGTCTGATCTCTGCTGAACAGTCATGTTCCCGTCCTGATAGGGTGGACATTCATCGTAAGGAGAATGCGGGAGCGGCAGAGAAGCCGATCACCATCCACTCCACTCCTGAAGGCTGCTCCGCCGCGTGCCGCATGATCATGGACATCATGCAGAAAGAGGCTGATGACACGAAGGTGTAAGTCTGAATCTTCTGGAGTCACGAGACCTCTTTAAATACATCTCTGTGGTGGCCAACTTGTGGTCTTGCTTCTGTAGAACTGAGGATATTCCTCTGAAGATCCTGGCCCACAACAGTCTGGTCGGAAGACTGATCGGGAAGGAGGGCAGGAACCTGAAGAAGATTGAAGAGGAGACCGAAACCAAGATTACCATCTCCTCGTAAGTGTCTGTTGCATTTAATGTCTTTCAACTGGTGAAAACAAGGGAAGTTCATTATTGTTTCACTGTTGTGCCAAAATCTATAATGTTTTGTCACACTTCAGCTGAACATATTCCTCTGCTTCTATATGGAGGCATACATGATTACTAGGTTCACCATGGAGAGTTGTTTTGATAGGAAATATGGTATTTTGTTGTGGCAATATTGATCAAAACGTGATCTGGACATGTGACATCTTATAATGGGCTGCTAAGTGCTGGGATCTGGTTCAGAGCATCAGAGTACAGGTGGTCTTATGTATTTCCCAGTAATAAGTGTGTGCTGGGCACAGAGATAGCTTAGGAAGTGAGTCACCCAATTAAGCCCTAACCAGGACTCCTGACGTCATTGCATCTCTGTCCCTCTAAAAGCAGCCTCATTCACCAATGCGCATCGATACCAATTCAAATAACTTGCTCTTCACCCAGAGTCCCACTTATTTCCAGGTTGATTAAGGATGACTGTATTCATCACTGCAGAGATGCACAACAATTTGTCTTGGTATTCAGTTCAAGAACAACATACAGCAAGAGCGATGCAATGCAAACAATTAGTGTTATGTCTTTCTATGACGTGGCTCAGTCTCTGCTATCCTGTGCTTCAGTTAAATCATGCCATAATGGTAGGGGTCCCGAAATTTTGGGAATGTGGGTGTTTTGCTCGCTTTGTGCATTCGGCAACAACAGACATAAAAGCACATAATAAATTATTGTAAATTATCAATTAAAAATAAATAAAAAGCTTTTTTTTTAATAAACAAAACAGTTGGGGCACATTTTGTTGCTTTCCATCTTGCTAGTGACAATGAATAATTATAGTGATAATTAATTAATTTACATTTTTTTATTAATTTCTTAAAAAAAAAAATTATAATAAAATATATTGACCCATTTAGAGTGCTGTAATACAAAAAATCCTAATATCATTCAAAACCAATATGATCACATCATATGCACAATATAATAATAATAATAATACAGAAGATATTTACCCATTCAGACTGATGCAATAATTTAAACACTTTCTATTAGTCAATACCAGTATGATCACATCATACATATAATATAATAATAATAATATCAAAGATATTGACCCATTCAGGCTGATGCCACAAATAAAAAAAATAAAAAAACATTTTGGTCACATCATATCCAAAATATAATAAGGAATGAGACCTTGCCTTGCCTTACTTAATTAAAAATACCCTCAATTAGAACACTGCAGAACAAAAGTAGTATGTATCTTAAACATGTACGAATGATTTTACTCACCTACTTTTTTTGTCTTGATTCTTTCCACAGTTTACAGGACTTAACTATTTATAACCCAGAGAGAACCATTATAGTGAAGGGGAGTATCGAGGCCTGTTGTAGGGCTGAAGTGGAGATCATGAGAAAGCTGAGGGAAGCCTATGAGAATGACATTGCTGCTATTAACGTAAGTGTTTGTGGTTTTGATGACAGGAAATGTGATTTCCATCTTTAAGCCACCGTTTTTATGTTGTAATCAATATGTCAGATTTAACTCAAACCTTAGATGCTGATATGCTCTTTATAAAAACCTGCTTATTGTGCGTCAAGTGTGATCGACCTTTAGTCAGCGTCTAATAGAAGACTAGGCAGTTAAATGCCTCGTCTGTTTACTCCTGTTCAGTTATTGACTGTGTTTATAGGAAACAGCCTTGAGTCAGTCCGTCCCCTGCCGTGCATACGGAGAACGCACTGTCATCCTGTCAAACAGCCGTTCACACAGACGTGCACGCACATGTACACCGTTCCCCGTTTACATGCATGACGTCACTGCCAGTGTCTGAGGGAGGTGAAGCCGTAGACTGAGAGCAAATACTGCAACAATAGCATCATCATTCTCATTTACACCGGCGCATCCAGTGCCTCTCTTCATCTTCAGTGAGTCATTTATTTTGCGGAAAAGGCCTCTACCAACTACACAGATCAAATTTATGCGGTTTCATTTATACTCACACATTAGTCAGTCCTCAGTCAGGCGTATGGTAAATTATTCATGCTTGGATCAAGTGTTTTTGCGACAGTTTCGTGTGTAACTGTCTGTAAGTTGATCCCTGTAACCTTCATTCCCTTTTGTATGAAGGAGGCGCAGCAGATGAATCAGACAGGACATGAAAAATTAGACATATGAAGTTCCCTGTCAAGACTAAACAGCATAACAGCATCTTATCTAAAAGCTTTTGCCATGATGCACCGGGTCGATGGAGCCACCTAGTGTGACGTAGCAATATTGCAAGACGTTATAACAAATATTCACATGGTTCATACAGCTCAGAAATACAGTGAAACTAAGAATTCTGTTTGTATTTTTTTTTTTACTCAAATGAGAGTTTGTATCATGTAGAACGTGATAGCTTGAGGTCATGCACTGAGTAATTATTCATAATCCATGATGTCTTGCAGCAACAAACCAACCTTATCCCTGGGCTAAGCCTGAGCGCACTGGGCATCTTTTCAACCGGTTTGTCAGTATTGCCACCAGCTGCTGGGCCCAGAGGCGTCCCACCCTTACCCCCAACTGGCTACAACCCTTTTCTTGTGAGTACAAACCACAGTATGGAACTACAGCATATTTGGATGTTTCATCCTCGGGAATGTGTTACATTTAGCAGGTCAAAATTCAGATTTGAACAATTAGCTTCATGTTGCAGGATGCAGTTGTGGAAATTAAATAGAAATGATAGAAAAAGATTTTACCAGTTTGTTATTATACAAATAATTATTAATATATATATTTATAAATATATATATGTATATTATTTTGCATATATATAATACATTACTGTCTCAAGTAATTAGACACTATATGTGTGTGTGTGTATATATATATATATATATATATATATATATATATACAGTATATATTATTGTGAGTAATAGATTAAGATTAAATTAATTTATACCTAAATGTTATAATAATTATAAATTCAACATGTCTGTACGTTGCATTTTAAACATTATTAATACCATGAATTTCTGGAAATACCCCATATGTTGTGTATACTAACATCTTTAATATTTAAACATAAATGTTATGAGTAACAGATGAATGTTTGGCTCCATTTTGAAGAGTTTTGGGTAAATTGGAAAAAAAAGAAATCAAGTGTGTGTATACGGTCACGTTGCTACTGTGAGGGAGCGAGGAACGAGGAGTACATCAACAAGGAAGTTTTAATAGAATCAAGGGAACCAGGAAAACACATGCAGCTGAGGAGGTAGACATCAACAAACATTCACAACAAGTCGACCATACAACTGAACAGTCTGGGACTTTTGAACACAGGGCAATCAGGGGAACACAGGTGCATGAAATGAGTCAATTAAACTAAACAAGGACAGGAACATGACAAAATAAGGGAACACAGTTACAGAAACGGGCAAAACATAAAAAACAGGTCAATGATCCTGACATATACACACACAAACACAACACAAATTCCTGTAGGTTGCATTTTAAACATTTATTATTAATAATGTGAATTTGTGGAAATACCCCACATGTTGAGTTTGATATTGCATAATTTATACTAAAAATTACATGTATGTTTAAAAACTAGAAAAGGAATTTCTTTACATTTTATTTCATTTACATCATTAAATTCAAATTTTAAGTACTACATTCTGTTCTGTTTGCTAGTTCCATTTCAGGAATTAAATGGAAATTTAATCTGAATTCTCAGTGCAAATCTAAATGGTGCTCTATCCTGACATTTAGTCACATTGTACATACACCGTCCCTTTCTCAGTGAGCGGCGCTCACCTTAGCATGCAACTACTCATGTTTGAGTTGTATAAACCTTCCGGTCGGTTAGTGTGCTGCAGGATTCCCCTTCATATTTAGTGATGAGTCAGACAGGACAGCTTATGGCTCACGGATGAACTAATGAAGGTAGAATGAGTGCGTGGGTGTGTGAGATGGCACTCATTACTGAATGAGTGTTCGCTGCTTTTTATCATCCTCGGTAGTACTGTAAAACCTGATTAGTCATTTATTGCAAATTGTTACAGCAGGTTTTTATTGTTGCACTTCTTTGCTTACGGTAAATCAAGCTCTCTTCATTAGATATATATATATATATATCTTCTCCGCATTGAGCTTCTATATTTCTCTAATATTTTGAATGCATAACACAGCAGCGGCACATCTCGTGGGCAAGACTAACAAAACATTAAAATGCAACAATGTCACTTACATCACCGCATCTCGCGCGCCACTGATGACGCTCCCTGACGCACACCTAACATTCAAATGCAAATGTTTATTTTAAATTCGACTAATATTCATTCTTTATTCACAATCTCCTTATCACAGGCAGGCACAGCACTCAATTCAGCATGTGTTCGTGTTTGTGTGTGCTGTCTGCGTCACTCATAGCACGTGCCTATATCGTGCAATATATCAAACATTTTTTCTATCGATATCGAAGAAGGTGTACCTTCGATAATTATATCGATACCGTTTTATCGCCCAGGCCTACTACGAGTATATTTCTGTGCGCAAAGAAAACAAAAATAATGACTTTATTCAACAATGATTTCTCTTCCGTGTCAGTATCTGCTGCGCAATCACGGATTTCATCAAAAATATATTAATTTGTGTTCCGAAGATGAACGAAGGTCTTGCGGGTTTGGAACGACATGAGGGTAATTAATGACAGAATTTTCATTTTTGGTTGAACTATCCCTTTAAGGAACATCTCCTTTCTTTTCATTATTTACATGTGTAATAAACAAGAGCCGGTAAAATGTTCTTGTGATGTAAAACTTTGCATATTGATCCATCTAATTTGTTCTAGGGTCACTCATCACAGCTGGGTGGGCTGTATGGTGTCCCGCCTGCTAGTGCCATCTCTCACCAGCACACAGTGAGTACTAAAACTGTCCAATAAAATGGATTGTTCTGGTTCTGGATGATGATTCCTGGTTACAGTGTTCCAGCCAACCAATTTTATGTCATATCATATTTTACAGCATATATTGATGTCTAGAGAGTGGGATGTCTGATATAATGCTAATATATATTGTATTGTATGTGCAACACAATTGAATTATGACAAATATGATGTCCAAAAACCCCCCACCTATTTTACACAATATTTATTCCAAAGCCCCCTTTCTGTGAGTGACAACATCTGTTAATGAGCCAATTGGACATAGCTATCAGCTTTGCTGTAACCCAGTGCAACAGCAACATCTCATGTCATTTTAATAACTTAGTAGTTATTCACAAAATAACAACCTCTGTCTTGGAGCACCACAAGCTAATGGTGTTGACTTGAAATGCTGTTAGCTAGCTCTCTGGCATCTTCAATCTTTCACTGTCGCTCATGCTAAAAGTTTGAACAATGAGTCATCAGTTTCCTATGGTTTACATTTTGGTGTCAGGCAGGTCAGGTCCTTTAGAAACAGATAATAGGTTTGTGTCCTCAACATCGGTTTGAGTGATGAATGGATTGTTTTTGCCTCCGTACAAACCTGTGTGAACCTTCAGGGCTTGACCTCCAGCCTGCGTTGAAGTGAGCGGTATCTCAGTGGGATTGTGGGTGGTTTGGGGAAACTAAGTGCAGTAAACAGACAGAGTGACGTTTTTCCAAAACACTTTTAAAAAGGATGACTCTACCTGACATGCTCAGATGGATTTTAGGACTCCCTGATTTACAGCATCATGTTGAATAAGAGGATGTAATATTTTGCATGTTTCTTCTGCCCTCTCCTCAGCAGGCTCCTGAACAGGAGGTGGTCTACCTCTTTATTCCAACTCAGGCTGTCGGTGCTATTATTGGCAAGAAGGGCCAACATATCAAACAACTGGCACGATTCGCAGGAGCCTCTATTAAGGTAGGAGTTCCTGCCTACTGGAAAGCCACTGCTGTCATGTCAAATCTGTAAAATGAAAGTTATTTTTGTGTTTTTGTTATGTGAAGCACAATAATCCATCCAATTTTCTGTGTCCTATTGCCGAGATCCTTGATTTGAATCTAACCATATCATGCTCAGATTTGACCTAGTACCTCAGTGTGGGTGAGCCAATCATCCGTAACCTCTCTGTTGATTCAACCAGTCTTGTGGGTTGCTGGGTAAACAGTAGGCGTGAGATAGTTCACCACCCATAGTTCAGCATGGGTTTGTAAATGTGTATTTTTAGGTGTCTGTTTCAAGCAATTAAAGTAATTCTTAATATCTCTGATCTAATGTATACTAAGAGAGTGTAATAATGAAATTTTGAAAGTGACAACAACATTTTTTATCTTTTCTATACATTTCAATAAATGCTGACAAAATGTGAATTGTATGTAATTTTACAGTGTGGTGTATTTTAACGCAGCGTATGGTTTAAAAACATCTGGTATTTTACTGAATTCATGGCCACAAAATCAAAATCAAAATACAAAAGAAACGTTGAGAATTTACTAAACCCTTGTTGATCAGTAATTGGAAACCGAGCCCTCTGGTGGCTGTGTGATGAGACATCAAGAGAATGAGCTCTATGATTGGTTCACATTTCAGATGTAGCTCTAGAAATAAAAGGAATATTCTTTAAAGCAATGTTGTTTCTGCATTTGTGGCATGTTGTTGATTATGTCAGAAAATAATGTTGATTCATATCTTTGTATGTAAAAACAATGTGTACATAAATTTGTTATTTTTTTATGTTCAGATCGCACCTGCAGAGAGTCCTGATGCCACTCAGAGGATGGTCATCATCACTGGCCCACCAGAAGCTCAGTTTAAGGTAAAAGAATAAAATACAAACTTAAAATCCCAGTATTAGTACATGACAATTGAAAGATATATTTTTGAAACTTAATCTTATAACTTGTAGCCTTTAGCTCTCTTGTAACCCTATTATGCCCCTGTACAATGGACATTGTCTTTGCTTTTGCATTTCAGGCCCAGGGCAGGATATTTGGGAAACTGAAAGAAGAGAATTTCTTTTCTGCAAAAGAAGAAGTGAAGCTGGAGACACATATAAAAGTGCCCTCTTCAGCAGCTGGGAGGGTCATCGGGAAAGGTGGCAAAACGGTGAGAATATGTTGAAACATAGTAGTTGTAAGCACGATCAGAATATTCGGTGATGTTCCAACATGGTAGGACTGCTTCATAGTAGCGGATATGGCATTAGGCCTCAGTGTGGCGTTTATTAAAAAACAATGAATGAAAAATTACAAAATGGGGGAAAATAAAGTGTTCTATGGGGATTATTTGTTTATGTACTTATTTCAGAGTCTGAAAAGCATATTTACCTTGAGCTTGAGTAATGTAAGACTTTCTATTCAAAGGTGATTCAGTTTCTAATGCCAGACATACTATAGAATTCTGATTCGAAATAAACTCTCTGTTTACACCTTTTCAAACAACAAGATGTTGTGTAGCGCATCCAATTGCAGCTATTTTCTTATCGCAGAGTCAATATTCCTTTCATTGTGCACCATTATAAATGGTTAAGTCAAAAATGTGTTTGCAAAAGTTAACAGTTATTCTCAGAATCCATAATAGCTTTCCAAAGAACAATGAAATGTTCATTGTTAAAGAATGGGAACTGATTAATCAAAGTTAATGTGGTGTGAAAAGTTCCTGAGAAAGCTTATACATGCCACCAGAGCAAATGCTGGCAATGTTGTTATTGTTTTTGCTAATTGTTTTATATGTACTCGACAAATTTTCTTTGTGTAATTTGGTCAGCAAATTCACTAAAAGCACTGAAATGCCAGTGAAAGCTTTTTTTTTTTTAAAGCGTTTTAAAGGGAAAAAAAATTATCATGACTAAAGTTTGGTTATTTGGTTACTTTTTAGTCTAAGGCTTTGAAGAGGACAGGCTGATCCAAATCAACGTGACCTGTTCCAGTCAGGATTATTATATGTTTCATGACCTGTACGTTTTGTTTCTAGCAAATATTTGGCTCTATTCATGGTGACTCAAACCACAGGGGCATCATTTGTAGAGTAGACAGGGGTCGCAGCTTGGTCTTGACGTAAGTCATGTACCAATAAGCACCTGGATATGTGCTGCTTGTTCTTGTATGAGTCTTATTGAACCACAGCGTTTGCACATTTTGACCCAGCTGACATTATTGTTAGGTGCACTGTTAGATGTGGTGTGGTGTCATCAGCCTGTTTCTCTGAACCTCTTTCAGGTTAACGAGCTGCAGAACCTAACCAGTGCAGAGGTCATAGTGCCACGGGACCAAACCCCAGACGAGAACGACGAGGTCTTTGTCAAAATTAGTGGGCATTTTTTTGCCAGCCAGGTGAATTATGCATCACACATCACTTCAAATGTGGAGAGTGTTTCTTTTCACATTAAACTTGAAATTTACAGTTCAGTAACTACTACAGAGATCAATCCTAATTCTTAAAACATGATACATTGTGTCCTAACCAGCAGCAAATAAGTGCCCTTTTCTTCTATGTTATTATGATGTTTTGTCCTAACCAGCCACGACTGTCAACAGCACTGCATTAGGAGATATGTAGTCAGCTGTTTGGTCTTTAATTCTGTTGCATTGAGCAGGACAGCCCAGCCTACAGTCAGATCTCACTGGTATAAAATAATGCTTGCCTTAACTTTTTAAACATCAAATATGTTCTGATATGTTCTCAGGACGCCCGTATCGCGACGGTGCTGTATGTCGGCACGCTGCCCATAAGGCTGTCAGCGCTGACAAATTAATTTATTAATGTTACACAACTTTCTATTTTAAGTAAATGCTGTTTATTTGAAGTTTCTATTTCTGAAAAAAATTTATTGTTTTCCACAAAAACATTAAGCAGCAGACAGTTTTCAACATATAGTTAGTTTAAATTGTAATAATATTACTGTTCTTACTATATTGATTAATTAATTGCAGCCTTGGTGAGCATAAGATGATACTTTTTTTTTTTTTAAACAATTTTACCAAGCCCAAACTTTTGCATGTTAGTGTATTTTTCTTAACTTTGTTCCTTGACCATGTAAAGGCTAACTGCATTAAATAAAATCACCTCTGATTGATCAGTGGCATGCAGCAGTGACAAAACATGAAATGTTTGCTTATGCTTATCTTATGTTGCCAAATTCACTCAGCCACCTCTCTCTTATTAAACAGAACCTGAAATCAAACATTTGCCATTATAAACATACTCTCCACTGCTCCCACAGACTGCACAGAGGAAAATCAGGGAGATCATCCAGCAGGTGAAACAACAGGAGCAGAAGCACCAGCAAGGCGCCCCCGTGACACACCGCTCCAAGTGACCATCAGGGCAGCCCCAGCGGGCACCTGCCAATGAATGTAGCCCTCCCAACTGGAATCAGACCAGACCGGACGAAGGGGACTGGCCGGGCAGACCAGCAGCCGTGGGATCAAAACCAAAGAACTTCTTTCTGGGGGAGATGAAGGAGCCACAGGCAGAAGGGCTCTGAGTGCACTGCCAGCTTGGGGAGGGAGGGGGGAAGGAAGTGCAAGAAGACAAGTGTTCCTTTTATTGTTCAAATAAACCCTGAGCTTGAGAAGAATAGGTATGGGGCACCTGTTATCAGGATGGGAAACATCACGGTCGCCCCACGTAACAATTTCTTAATTTAGGCTTAATCTAGGGTTAACACAGATGAAAAGCTCCATTAACACATGTACACTGATGCATTTTGACTGAGTTGTGTTGCTGTTTTCTGGGGTAGATAAAGTGTGGGTGTGCACTAGCAGTTGGCGACCGATTATTATTATTATTTTTTTGTTATTTTTTGATGCTCAGATTGCGATTTCAATGATTCTAAGCCGTATTCTCACCAGTACACTAGAACAAATATACTGTTATATCTAAAGCAGAAGCACGATTCTTCTTGTTTTGCACAAGCCATCGGGCATGTAGTGCACATCACGTACGCATATAACATTATGTTTTTCAGATTTCTTGATGATGGGACAAGAAAGTTGGGAAATGTAAATGACAGAACGTTTATTCATATCTTAGCCTGTTTGCATTTCGGGAAACATCATCCAACTCAACGGGTCCTTGTTACTTAGCCTGTGCGTGCCAACGGATGCCGTTAAAACATTTATTTCTGTGCATATCTTTCATTTTTTAACTTCATTTGTAACTTCATCATCATTTGTAGTTTGTTCTTATTTCTGTCCAGCTCTTACACTCCCTTTTTATTTTTCTGCATTTAGTCATTTCATCGCCACCGCATTCTTGTGGCGGCAGTCATTAAGAGACGGAGTAGGTATGTGGTAGATGTGGCTTAGGAGTCACCACCCCTTGTTTGCTTTTGGGGGTATGAAAAGAATATAAAGCAAGCACCAGTGTCTGAAAGACAGTGCACCTTTTCTGGCTCGGGCAGAACGAAATCGAATGTGCACCAAGAACTCTGCCTTAATCTATGCTGAAAGGAAACGAAAAGACGGGCGACTCAAAATGTGATTGGAGGGTCAGGTTGATGTGGGACGGGGAGGCACCTTATGACCTGTGGTACACACACGACCGCGTTTGGCTTTAAATCTCTTTGTCAGGGAGCTTTCTAAACGGCATGACAGCTGTGAATGTACAATAAGCAGCCTTTTAGAAAGAGCACCACCCTGTCATGTTCAGTAAGCTGGTTGGTCGGTGAGATTATTGGTTTGTTTGTTTTTTACCAATACTCGGGCTGTTTTGGGAAACTGATTGACTGTTTCAACAGGACGTGCAGGCATAGATATCCTTTTGTGCTTTATTTTTTTTCTTCTTTTTGACCACTGGTCTATGTCATCACAGACAGCTCCCTCGCCCAATGAGAGCTAAGCCTCATCTTCCAGACGCAAGGTTTATGCCAATACGCACAGCTTCCATTTGTGTGTATGCGTGTGTTGGAAGCTCGTGGCCTTAAACGTCACTGGTCTATGTCATCACAGACAGCTCCCTCGCCCAATGAGAGCTAAGCCTCATCTTCCAGACGCAAAGTTTATGCCAATACGCACAGCTTCCATTTGTGTGTATGCGTGTGTGTATATAGATATATATATAAAGAGAGAGAAATATTTATGAATCTATTTTTTTTTTCCTATTTTGTGACGAGAGCTATTAATAAGAAACAAACAGAAAAACAAGTCTTTTTTGGTGGAACACTGCCATGTTATTCTGAAGGGAAGTGTTTATTTTCTTGGAAGTAGACTATGACTATTGGTAGTAAACTAACAGTAAGAACAGTAATGAATCACCGCAACACTTTGATCAGAATGTGATCAGTGCGCATGTCAGTATTGTGATCTACCTCAGGCGTCAGGGTACCTCAGTCCAATCTTTAAGTTCCCTTTTTTTCTCCCCACATTTTGTATGACTTGTAAACTGAAAGTTTTGAACGTTTTCTTTTTTATAATAATAAAAAAGATCAAGATAAAGATCTAGTCTGAAGTCTCCAGGTCCATCTGACAAAGAAGAATGGATCTAAAAGCTTTCAGAACTGTATGGGAATTTACTTCATTCTTTTACCGATCACAACCTTGTGATTTATTATAGAATGTGTAACTGAGGGGTACTTACCTGCCAGAAAGGGGTTCTGAATGTGGATAATGTGTGCTGATGTCTAGATCAGTGACAAATGGTTCAAAAAGACTGAATATCAAGCAAAATGAGCTTAAGCTTAATTCGAAGCATTCTCCAGGAGCAACTGCGCTGTCTGAAGCGTAAGCCAGCTTTCTCTTTACATTTTATAAAAATGCATCCAAATTCAGGAATTACAGTCAGACCAAATTTTTTAATTAAGGTTTTTTTTAATCAAGGCCTTTCACAAAACAAAGCCAGGTTGATATAAAATAAAAAATTGAAGAAAAAAAAAAGAAGCTTTTTTTCTTATTGTAATTCACAGAGTAACTGTTTGGTAAAAGTTTTTTATCGTAATTACACAAAAATCACAAATGCAGGTATTTTGTCGCCTCAGATCTGCAGTGGATCTGTTGCCGGTTGCAGTCCTTGCGTGTTACAGCTGAAGCAACAAGGCCTATGTCAAATCAAGATGGAAGACGGTAGAAGGTCACTGTGTTAGGTCCAGGTGTGTGCACTTGGGATGGCTGGTTTGCTTTCATACAGTAATTCACACAATTTGTCTGTGGACTGAACTGCAAGCTGTCCCACTCCATAGTTTTAGTTCTAACCTTTGACCGTTTTCGATAGGGGCGTGTTACTGTAGACCTGTAAATCGTTTTTTACCTACTAAAGCAACTCGTCCACACTTATCCGCAAAGAGTAGCACAGACATCAGGTGCTGATGGTGTTTCTATTAGTAAAGGTTAGAGGCTTCTGCTAGATTATGTCAGTTTGTGGATTTCTCACAATTTTTCACTCAAGAAGCTGAATACGATTCTTATGGTTCTTGACTCTGTGAAGGCTTGTAGCTAGACGAGGCCGTCATTTCCCCTGAATGATAGACTTTCTGCTTAATCTCAGGTGTTTGCTCATTGATGGAGTTCAGGTTGTGTAGCAGTATGATAACTCCGATCACTTTTAACTGTTATTGTAACTGTAACGCGCCACGCTGTCGATAGATAGACACCAATCTAATGTTCTACAGTGGTTCTTAACTTTTCTTAAGAGTTTGTATTTCGAGGCTTCGTCAGGTGTGCATCAGTCGTGCATCAGTATTTAACTTTACGGAAGCATTAGTCAATACGTGCATTAACTAACATCACACTGTTATATTGTCTCTGTAGTCTGGTAATTAAGCTGTCTCGCTATCCATTATGATATCCTGTAATGTAACGCTAGGAACAATTGAGGTCTTTGCATTAACATTAGGCCAAAAGTCATAACTAATAGAAGTCGAACGAATCAGGTCAGTTTAGGATAGCTGTTGTTTGTGGTGTTGGCATGAAATCTCATCGTGGTCTTTGGGCCCTAAAGCTTTTAGGGTGAGTGGAGACTTAAGGTAGGTGCTGTTCTATGTTTATGTTTTGATATTAGAATAGACCACAGGCACAGCTATAGTTGCTCACAGTATGATGGCACCGTTCTAGTCGTGTTTAACTCGGGATGAGAGCAGGAAATCAGAGCGATGCATGAGAATTCAATGCAAATCATAGGCTGTGAAAACTACTTTGCGCCTTTACCACGGCAGATCCATTCCTACGCAGCTCTCTAGCTTCTCACATTAGTTCATTTCGAGCGATGTGAAACAGAGACTGGGCTCGCTGCACTGCCTGCCGTGTCCCCTCAGCTGGGTTGTGGGGGGTTTGGGGGACTGAGAGCTGAACTTTTTTTTTTTTTTGCTAACAACCATGTTGTTTTGAAATGTAGGTGAACTGTACTGCTGATCAACATGGATTTGAGCAATAAAAATTCTTTATAAAATTCTCATGTCTGAAGTTCATCTTGTTGTTAATGTGTTAAGATATTCTTTAGCAGCTGGCTGTTGTGTGTACATCAGTAGTACACTCGTTATGGAGGTGCATTATGGGATTGAATAAGTGCACTCAATGTCCACTGTTTTCGGACACCACTACAAAAGCCTGTGCCCTCAAATAATGCACTATAGAGAGCTGCACAATTAATCAAAACCTAAATTGCAATAATATTTATATTATCACCATAAATATTAGTATTGTTTTTTTTAGTTATAATCTAAAATTAAAAAAAAAAATCTTAAATACTTTATTTTACAATGAATTTTTTTTTAGTAATAAGCAGTATTGCTTAATTTATTTTTAGTATTTTTTGGGAATTTTTATATTTTTAAGTAATTATTACTACTACTGTTATTATATTTTTCTATCCATACTGATATATTATCAAAATTGTGCAGCCCTACAAACGAACACAATGTTTTAAGTCAAAATGATCAGAACAATTACAATTAGATTCTTAACTAAAACTGTGCAGCCCTAGCAAAGGTATAGGGAGAGATTTTAGAGCTAAATTCCCTGCTAAACGCAGGACATTGTTCCCTGGTCAGACAATTGCAATAATCATAATGTGATGGCATTTTTTCCTTTAATTAAAAAAACCCGCATTCATAACATTCATCAACTGTGCATATGAACACCGACTTGAAATGAAGAGCATGCAGATGTGATCAAATGTTCTGAAAGAAGCTAATGGAACGAGTTTATTGTCAGATGATTGATCACATCGTAAACAGCTTTACTCACATGATGTGGGTGTTCGCCTGTTCGGTGAATAAAAATACTGCATTCTGCTCCCAGCATTGCTAATGCCACTGATACATAGAAAAGGATTGGCTTTAATTCACCATTTCAACATTAAGTTGGATGGCCATTGAGTGACCAGGCAGGACTTCACATACTGCCTCCGTCCCCATAAAGAAACAAAAACCCACAGTGAATATTTACAGCTTGATGTTCCATTTTAATATTTACAAGTACTCCAAGAAAGTAAAATATTAAATATTTCACTTCAGTGAGGTAGGTCACTTTTAAGGCTGATGTGAGACTTCAAAGACAGTAACCCACAACCAAAATCCACAATATCCATGTTATTACAGTCTGTAAATACAGAAGAATGGTATTAAATACCTCAAATGTCTATACTTTGCTGCACGATTCCACATCTTTTTTAACCAACATTATAAATATGGATCTTCCAAAAAAGTCCCTTTTTCTTACTTGCATCACAACCCATGCCAGTAAAGCCATAGCAGTCTTCCAAGTAAAGAATATGTAAAAAATTACATTTCCATTTTTAAAAAATGTGAGGCCACAATTTTTTTTAAGAGCTCTTAAAAAAGTCACTTTAAACACAAATAGTAGCCACCCACAAAGCAGCCAAGGTGGACTGAATGACAGACTCCACACTGTCCCTTATCTGTTCTTCTTGTCGTGACTGAGTCCATTTGTTTCAAGGCAATCCAGATGGAGATGTTGAGTGCTGTATTTACGGATCAGAGCTCCAGGCAGCAGAGCAACACAGGCAATAAACAGTAGTTTCAACACCACACTCCAGGAGAACAAGTCATCCAGAGAGGAGATATGAGACAGCATTGATCCCGTCTGGACGCAGATGAAGTTGTACGGCATCAGGCCTGAAAGAAAATACAGATGTTTTAAATCAGTTCTACAAATATTAAGGGAAATGTTCTGAAATATCATCTACTGTCATTTAACTGTGTTTACCAATGAAGACAGCCATGAAGAAAAGAGTGACAGGAATATTCAGGATTGGCGAGGTCATGTTTAAGAACCAGTTTGGACTCATGGGAAAGAATCTCAGGAACAGCAGGAAAAAGAACAAGCTACTTCTGTTTTCCTCAACCTGGGAAAAAAGTAAAAATTAGGAAAGTTTTGAACAAAATCAAGCAATGATACTTTGTATGTTGTACTTTCAGACATTTTAACTTGTGGTACCTTCTTTTGCAGCATGGCCACTTTGTCAGGGAAGAGTCTCACAATGTGCTGTTTGCCGAACGCCTGGGACAGGAGGAAACAGAGAGTGGCGCCCACTGTGGTGAGGACACACGCGAGGAGAAGACCATACCACGTCCCAAACAAGGCCCCAGCCAAGATGTTCTGTGGGGGGGAAAAAAGTCGTTAGATCAAAGTAAATAAAGGTGCATGTTGTACATAATGCTCTTGCTAATATGCGTATGCCATTTGTCAAATTGACCTCCATTGGTTTTGATGTCATTTGCCAACACTACGAAATACATAAAACCTCTAGTGCAGCTTGTTAGAAACTAAAAAAAAAACATGAGAAATTATGAACAGTTCTTTCCTTTGTATTAGGGGTCAATTTGACCCATGTATTTTTTGTACAAATCTACCTGCATTGATAAAATATAAACATTTTTAGTGACTGTTCGCACACTGAGGAGCAAATAAATACAACTCAGTATAAATAGTATCTAACATTATTTGTATATGTTGTACATTTACATTTAATCATTCCGCTTTTATCTAAAGCGACTTACAAATGAGGACAACAGAAGCAATCAAACCAACAAAAGAGCAACAACGTGGCGGCTAAGTGCTGTGAAAAATATTTTCTGGGTCAAGATTTTTTTTTTGTAACAAGAAGAAAGCAGATAGAATAGAAATTGAATAGAATGCGCTAGTGTGTTAGAGGGTCAAATATAGATGGAAGAGATGTATTGGTAAACAGCCTCTTCCTTTTATGGCATGTCTGGTTCTCAAACCCTTGTAAGGGGAAGTTAGATTTCTCACACTTCTTTTCAGTTCCGTAACAACGGAAAACAAATAGTGTTTCACAAGTTTTGATTTTTGGTGAATCACATGGAAACCATTTGGGGGGTCAACATGATCATATAGTCATCCAAATTTGTACAGCCTTTTCAAAACTAAGCGTTGAAACCTTGCATGTACATTTGTGAACCTAAATGAGGAAAAGGTCACAATTTCAAGAAGAAATAAATAGTCTGACCACTGTTTCAAGCAGTTGGCCTGCATTTAAGTGTAATGCTTATATACCAGGGTTCCTCAAATCTTACCCTGGAGGTCCAATGCGCTGCAGAGTTTAGCTCCAACCCTGATCAAACTCATCTACCTGTGATTTTCTAATGATCCTGAAGACATTGATTAGCATGCTCAGGTGTGTTTGATTAGGGTTAGAGCTAAACTCTGCAGGAAAGTGGATCTCATGGGCCAGGTTTGAGGATCCGTTATATACTCTACTTACTAAGAAAGAGGAACCGGGTATAGCAAAAGCCTGCTTGTAGAGGTAGGCACTGCAGAAGAGTAATAACACATATCCTGTGTGCTGTGTCTTATAAAACTGCAACAGCTCTGCCATCTCTTTCAGCTCATCCAGGTCTGATGGGAACTTCAACCTGGACCAAAATAAAGTCACATGATGGGGTGGACATTAGTAAACTTGCAGGGACAGTATCTCTCGCGATTATGCATCTGGTTCAATGACACTATGGTGATAGTTCAAGAATCACTCTTTTGCGAGGTTTAAACCTACAACGCTGATATTAAACCAACTCATCAGAGATCAGGGAAACGTCTTAAGATTTAAATAATTTAAAAGACCGAGCTTCTCTAACATGAATAGAAGGTAGGGATGTTCAAGAATAAACGGGGTAGCAACAACAGATCTAATTTCACTGCCAAAGGACACATGACAGCTGGAGACAAGGACAAGATAGAGAGCATCCATTTTGGAAATGCTTCATACTTACGTTTTTCACACTTTGCAAGCTACACATCCTATAAGACTGAAAAAATCAGCTGTGAGAGCTGCATATAGCAAAAGACAGACGGTGGTCATTATCACACATGCAAGAGAAGCACACCTGGAGGCCGCAGTCTCCATTTCACTTGGGTTGTCCTCCTCATCATTAGATTTTCTCGTCTCTCCTTCATGCTCTTGCTTAGGCAGCTGAGGTCCAGGGGGGAGATAAGTGGACAGTAAATAAAGGTAAAAAGTAGCCGTCAATATGACAGCGATCAGACCAACAAGCGAACGCATGACAAAGTAACTAGAGGACGCAGATACTGCATGTCCTATTACGTAAGAGACGTAAAAATTAATTAATATATGCTGCCGTACAAAGCCGCTGATTGGTAGTATTCTTGACGTGCCTAGCCACGTGATCTGTTTAATATTCATAAGCTAGACCCTCGATTGATTTGCCAGTTTACTAAATAGACAATTATCAACATTTGGCCCGAGTATAATAAAACAGAACCAGAAAAAGTCAAATAGTATATTTAACTATAAACAATATTCCATTCCCTAAGAGCCTACTACAGTATTGTTTAAAGTCATTTATGAAATGAAAAGATTAAAAAAAAACTCAGAAATGAACAATTCCACTCAAAATTATATTTAGTGTGCTCGTTTTAACATGTTGACAATCTAAAAATCGTAAATGACATTTGTCTTTCACCAAATCGGATAAAGAGACTACTGGGTGAACCTCGCGTTACTTCATTAATATTCACGGGTCCGTCCTTGACCATAGTAGAATTAGTAAATTCGCTTCCGGGAATGGAAGCGCTGTCTCCTGCGGCGACCAGATGTTATTTGAGTGACTTTGCAATGTTCTATACTCTTAGTGAAAGTCAATTGTCATGGAAGACACGTAGGACGTGCGACGTCCTCACTCAAAGACGCAAGCTCAAATAATAAAGGAGTGGGTGTGAGTGCACTGACGCGCTGAGTTTGCTGGTGTTCCAAAGTCCCGCATTTCTTTCAACTCACAACAACACCGTTCAAGTCAACAAAATGGCACGATATGAACTTGTTAAACGATCAGTTGCTCTGATCACTCTTACCAACCCACCAGTCAATGCCTTAAGGTGAGTGAAAACCTGCTGATTCCTAAAACATAATGCATTTATTTAATGCATTATTATCCTTCTGTTTAAAAAAAGAAAAAGAAAAACCAAACTACAGTAATGCATACAATCTTGCATTTTCTAGTATTATATTTCCTAATGTACTACTTTGTATTAAACGTTTTATAAATGCTAAGATTTATACACATCTTGTCCACATAGACAAATGTCCACTTTTCAAGTGCGTTGTTATGAACCCATCTAAGTTTATGAACAATAGTGATATGAACATCTGCTTTCTCCTTAGTTCTGCAGTGCGTCATGCCATTGCAAAGAGCATGGAGCATGCCCTGAATGACCCAAAGGTCAAGGCAGTGGTCATCTGCGGAGAGAATGGAAGGTTTTGTGGAGGTTAGAATATTAAAGATAAACATCCTCCATTAGGTTGAAGATTATAATGAAGTGTTTCAATGAAATGCATGAGTTATGTAAGGGCTGAATATGACTTAAAATCTGAACAGACTTTAAAACACTTGCCAACATTGTACATAGTTACAGAGAAAAACTGGGCATATAACTCAGGATCACACACAACCACACTTTAAAGTTGTTCCAACAAACTCATGCAGAAACATACGCCTCACTGTGTATTCAAGCCTCAAGAAGACAATCTAATAATATGAGGATGTGTTCTTCTGCAGGTGCAGACATCCGTGAGTTTGCTGGACCTTTAAGAGGACCTCCGTTGGTACCCTTGCTGGATGCCATAGAGGCTGGAGAGAAACCTGTGGTTGCTGCCATAGAGGGGGTGGCTCTAGGTGGAGGCTTTGAATTAGCCCTAGTCTGTCACTATCGTATTGTGCACTTTAAGGTAAACCATTTTGTCCTGCTGTTTATTCTTGTGCACATGCATACTGAACTAGCTTCAATATTGTGCAACACTGTCTAGTGCTGATATGTCCCTAGTTAATCGGTTGAACTTTGATATCAATATTTGAAGTTTATCAGAGAAGGGACGCACTTTAAGGTAAACCATTTTGTCCTGCTGTTTATTCTTGTGCACATGCATACTGAACTAGCTTCAATATTGTGCAACACTGCTGATATGTCCCTAGTTAATCGGTTGAACTTTGATATCAATATTTGAAGTTTATCAGAGAAGGGAAAGGTTGTTGTTTTGTGGTTTATGCACTGAGTATGTAGTGTATAATGTATTATGTGTTCCAGGCACGTCTTGGACTTCCAGAGGTGACTTTGGGCATCCTGCCAGCTGCAGGGGGAACACAGCGTCTTCCCAGGCTCATTGGCATTCCTGCTGCCCTAGAACTGATCACCACTGGTAAATCCTACACTTAGCCTACTGGCACACCCACAATTCACCCCAACAGATTTCAGCCCCTCTGCTAACTTCAACCACATGCCCTCTCTGCAACCGTCCATAAAAAACATAACAGTCATGCCATGCGGAGAGTGTTTCTGAAATTTCTGATTGGCTAAGCAAAAATGATCCAGTACCCTAATTCTTTTTTTTTATGTCCTGTAACTGCCATTGCTGCTAATTCAAAAGAGATTTCATAAATAATTAAATAGTTTTTCAAATTAGCAAGTGCTAAATTTAATCCGATAAGATACATTATGATAAAAAAATGAAAGCAATAAATAACTACATTGTGTTTTCAGTAATAAATCAAACTTTTCCCACTAGGTGTCAGCATTGTATATTGTTTTTGATTGATTTGCCTTAGGGCTTACAGCAATAGTTCATCCAAAAATGAAAATTGTGTCATTATTTACTCACTCTTATGTCATTCCAAACATATGTTCTGAATTTTTTTTTCAGTGGAACACAAATAGAAAGAATTTTCACTATTGCCTTTTTTTTTCTTTTTTTTTTGTGGGCATGCATGAACATTCTTATTTAAAAATCGTGTTTGTTTTCTTCTGGTAAAATAACAGCATACAAGATTGAAACGCTGTGAGCATGAGTAATTTATTTTCATTTCTAAGCGAACTAATCCTTTAACAAATGAGCAATCAGATTTCAGTTGTTTTATGATTATGATGGGATTTTCCTCACCCGTTATCATAATATATTACGCAGAAAAATAATCAAGTAAAGCACCCCACATCGCTCAGTTTCCCTTTTACCTACAGCAGCATTATTGTTTGATATTGCAGGCCGCCACATCTCTGCACAGGAGGCTCTGAAGCTGGGCATCGTTGACCAGGTCACAGAGCAGAATGCTTGTGAGTTGGCTGTGGAGTTTGCCCTGAGAGCTGTAGGTATGTCACGAGCTGGCAAAGCAGAAATACGGATAATAAAAGCCTGAACAGTAAAGTGAAGCAGAGTCTTTGGCAGGCTTTCAGAGTCAGGGGACGTACCAGATAAATCCTTTGTCACAGCAAATGGAATTAATGTTTCATATCCTTGTCAACGAGTTTCAGAGTCGTTCTGTTCTTTTGATCTATTTTTCAAGAATGTGAAAAGGAACAAACATTATTAGAATATTAATTCAATGCCCCTCTGAGCATTGGAGAACGATTTAAACAAACTAAATTTTTATGAATGTTTTTTTTATATAATAATAGGTCAAGTTCTTGAGGATTTTATTCCCTATTATGATAAGATGGTCTTTATATCACCTCAAACCAGTTCAAAAACATGCAAAATGCTAATGATTTTACTCAGAGACTCGCTGATTGTCTTTAAAAAACTGGCCAAGTGGAGTCAAAAAATTATTGTTTATACTGTCGCTTGGAGGGTGTTGAATCATCCTCGCACTGAAAAAGCGATTAGAGACTCTCTCTGCAGCTTCTGATAAATGAATGCCAATCCTTCACCTTCTGCTTGACCCCCATTTCCTCCAGTAATGAAAAATCATATGAGAGCAATTAAATCATTGGAAGGATTGCTGGACTCTCTGAAATATTTCTGTCAAATTATTCAGCTTTTCAAGGTCTACAGTAATTGCAGCTCTTCGTTGTACTCTACAGGCCACAAATTCTCGCTGAGACTGAGGGGAGCCAGATCCCTTGTAACGTGAATGTTGTGAGTGACACTCTTAGGGAGAGATCAGGGTTCATCTAGAGTCAGGATAAGCTCTGGAGGGAGATTAAAGATTGGCCAGAACTAATGCTCTCACTGTAATCACACGCTGAGCAAAGATCAACCCGGCCAAATCCTCACGACAGTCAACTAAATGGAACTGCGGAGCAGGTATGGTGGAAACAGCCAAATGTGCCTGACTAATGGTAAATACCTATTGTAAATGGTTCAAAATCGTCAAATCTTTTAGAATGTAAACAGGTTGATTCTACCTCAAAATGTGACAACAGAGAATTTGTTTAAAGAAAATGGCTGAGAATTAGCCTGGAAGTTAAATCTCATGAATGTGATAGATCATGTTGAACAGTAGGGTCCCCGAGGTAAAAATAATTTTCTTCATTGAAAGAACTCAGCAGAGACCTCTCACTCCCTTGATGCACACAGTACCGTTCAAAGGTTTGGGGTCATTAAGATTTTTAATTTGAACATTCTGTTCTTCCTGAAAAAAGTATCACACTTTCCACAACGGACCCAATTTATATTTGGTGGCCTTAACTACTACTGTATGTACTTACCTTTAAATTAATAATTTGATACAATTGTGTACATAATGTACATGCTTTTACATTGTACTTATATTTAAAAAAATACCTACATGTAATTACATCTGTAATTAATTTTTGTAAGTACTTTTATAATTACATTGTTGACCCATCCCTTACATCTTAACCCTCCCTTAAACTTACCCATCCCACCAAACCTGTGCCTAACCTTACCCGTATCCCACCTCAATAGCAGCAAAAGTGTTTTGCAATACAGTATGAACACAATACGTACATTGTACTTATTTTCCCTGTTTAAGTACATAGTAGTTAAGGCCACCTAATATAAAGTGGGACCGCAGCAACTGTTTTTATCATAATAAGATAATAATAATAAACGCTTCTTGAGCACTGTGACACTGAAGACTGGAGTAAATAGCTGCTGAAAATTCAGCTTTACCATCAAAGGAATAAATTACATTTTAAAATACATTACAATAGAAACCAGCTGTTTTAATTTGTAATAATATTTCACAATATTACTGTATTTTTTATTAAATAAATGCAGCCTTAATGACAAATATTTTTATATATTGCAAATTATTTTATGCTTCATAATTACTGTAAGTCAATACTTTTTTGTATCATTGCTTTTGAAACAGTT